GCGCTCAGATCCTATTCACACAGTTCAATTGCGAATGGGCTCCATGGCATAGCTATCTGGGTTAACACATTCAAATAAAGTCTGGTCCATAGTCCAAAGGCAAGAGGCGGGCAAGCAGCCCCCTCCAAGAACATGTGGCGAGGCCGGTTTCGCCACACCTCATTCCAGGGCCCTATTTAGCCTTGTACTGCAGGGAGCCCCAGATGAACATTGTTTCCCCAAGTAAGTGGGTTAATCTCATAAGAGCAGAATTAGGCTGTTAGAGTAGGACCTGTCAAAGATGGGGTACATTGACGTTGTTGCAGGCTTATGCAATGTATGATCATATAATGTAACTAAACCCCCATTATTTTTGCCTAGATTAGGTGTTTTAAAAAAAAAAATCTGGCAACATTGAAGTTGCTGTTTAGTTGGTCAGTGGGTGCACTGGAACTTGTGTAAAATATAGATGAAAATTTATCCATACTTACCGTAATTTTCCTTTCCTGGTCATAGGCCATGGCAGCACAACAATGGGTTAGCTCCTCCCTATCCCTAATTAGACAGGAACAGAATTAAAATCAGGGGTATAAATACCCCCTCCCACCAATGGTCCCTTAGTCTTGTTAACAGCAATATCCCAGGGCGGGATCTAAGTGCTGCCATGGCCTATGACCAGGAAAGGAAAATTACGGTAAGTATGGATACATTTTCATCTTTCCTGGCCATATCCATGGCAGCACAACAATGGGTAATACCCAAGCAATAACCAAGGGAGGGAATAAAGAAACACAGACCCAAGAACATTTTTAAATGCTGGTGTATTAGAAATCACACGTGCAATAGAAATTAATCAAGAAGAGTTGACTGCGGATAAGACTGATTTGCCAAAAGAGTCTGATTGGCTGGCTTTAACGTCAATCTGGTAATGCTTAATAAACGTGTTTGGAGAAGACCAAGTGGCTGCTTTGCAAATCAGCTCGGGTGACAAATTAGCAGCTGCTGCCCAGGATGAGGAAAGGGACCTCGTGGAGTGAGCCTTGAGCCCCTCCGGAACTTTCATCTTTGAGGCTTGGTAAGCCTGAACGATGGCGGAGACAATCCATCTACTGATGGCCACTTTAGAAGCCTGAAGGCCTCTTCTGGGGCCGTTGGGGATTAGTGATGTCGCGAACCCGAAATTTTCGGTTCGCGAACGGCGAACGCGAACTTCCGCAAATGTTCGCGAACCGGCGAACCGCCCGAAACGCCATTGACTTCAATGGGGAGGCGAATTTTAAAACACACAGGGACTCTTTCTGGCCACAATAGGGATGGAAAAGTTGTTTCAAGGGGACTAACACCTGGACTGTGGCATGCCGGAGGGGGATCCATGGCAAAACTCCCATGGAAAATTACACAGTTGATACAGAGTCTGGTTTTAATCCATAAAGGGCAGAAATCACCTAACATTCCTAAATCACAATCAATATGGATTGACACCTGACATATGACATATTGACACCTTGACATATGGATTGACACCTGTCCTCAGAGCCCCTGATGCACACGGACACAGAGCAGAATTAGAGACTGGTCCCCCTACATAGGGTCACTTGGCAGATATGGATTGACACCTGTCCTAAGGATCCCTGATACACACTGACACAGAGCAGAATAGGGACTGTTCCCCCTACATCGGGTCACTTGGCAGATATGGATTGACACCTGTCCTAAGGTTCCCTGGTACACACTGACACAGAGCAGAATAGGGACTGGTCCCCCTACATCGGGTCACTTGGCAGATATGGATTGACACCTTGTTACAAACTGCTATTTGTAACGGGCCCTTTAAATGGCATATTGCCCTGCTTCCCTGGGTTGTGGAGAAGCCTACTTGCCAGCCTCCTCCCGCATGACTATGGCCCCTGGGAGATTGTGAAAATGTATGCACTTTTATTTGGTGTGTATGGCCCTTTAAGACTGTCGGTGGGCATATTGGGGCTTATGGACTCTTTATGTGACTGGTGCTGGCCCTTTAAACACCTTTTTTGGGACATCAGGAAGATTGGGACACTGCCCCTTTAAGGCCGTGTCCCCAGACTTGTTGGGGACACGGCCCCTTTAAGACGGTGTCCCCTGTGTCCCCAGACCTGGTGCAAACCCTTTGTGCCTGCCTTGCTATTTCCCACTTGGTTCAGTAAATGGGAAATTATTTCAGCTGCAGAGACTAAGTCCCATTCGGCGATGGGACTTAGTCTTTTTTTCAGCCGTTTTTTTCAGCCTTATTTCAGCTGCAGAGACTAAGTCCCATTGATGGGACAGTCGTTTAAACCTGAAATAGACCGACCTCACAGCCCCGTCCTATGGAACTGTTTGGGCAGGAAAATGTGCTTGCAGTGGTCATAAAGGGACCTCAACTAACTTTTAACCCCCTGGATGGATTTGGCTGATTTTTGGTTATGTTTATGTTTTAAGTGTGCTGATTCCAAATATGTAATTATGAAGATGGGATGTGTAGTTTTAAAGTTACAGGGTATGGCTAAAAAACTGTATTTTTACTGCCTGTGTTTAATTATGTTAATCTCTTCCCAAACGTCATTTCGTTCAAAGTGGAGAGAATGTTAAAAAAAATATTTTTGTTCGGAGTGTGAGAAATGCTTTTCAGCCGCTTCTAATCTTAAGCATCATTTGAGGAGCCATACAGGAGAGAAACCTTGTTGTGGTGTGTTTAGTATTGTTCTGATCAGTTTAACCACCTTCAGCGTCTCCTATCAGTGGGCGTGTATATGGCAGCCATTTTAGGAACCGTACACCTGGGACCGAGCAAGGTCACCTCGTTCAACAGGCGACAACATTTGTCCCTGGAAAACTATCCTGGACATTCTGTACAATTTGTATGGATATGGCAGTGATTTCTGTAACAGGGAGATGGAAGAAGAGGCTTGGTCGGTCCTCTTAATTCAAATTTGGGGCACTGCGCGGTCAAGTAATGTGCCACCAGATAGGAGTGGTGTGTTTAGTATTTTTCTGATCAGTTTAATACCTTCCGCGTCTCCTATCAGTGAGTGGAGTGTACCGCGGCCATTGATTTTAACAGGGAGATGGAAGAAGGGCTTGGTGGGTCCTCTTACTGCAGAATTTGGGGGCACCTCTTGGCGGTCAGCTAATGTGACACCAGATAGGAGTGGTGTGTTTAGTACTATTTTTATCAGTTTAATACCTTCCGCGTCTCCTATCAGTGGACGTGTACACGGCATTGATTTTTGTAACAGGGAGATGGAAGGAGAGGCTTGGTCGGGTCCTCTTACTGCAAATTTGGGGCACTGCGCGGTCAAGCTAATGTGACACCAGATAGGAGTGGTGTGTTTAGTACTATTTTTATCAGTTTAATACCTTCCGCGTCTCCTATCAGTGGTCGTGTACACGGCAGTAATTTCTGTAACAGGCAGATGGAAGAAGATGCTTGGTTGGTCCTCCTAACTGGAGACTGTGTTGCTGTACGGGTGGCAGGTGGAGCCATTTATAAAGTACACACTGCTTTATAAAACCATTTATAAAGTACACACTGGCGGCTTGAACCCTAGTTGGTGGCGGATAAGTCACGCAAGTCAACAGGCATTCAGAGCTAAAATACAGCAGCGTGTGGACCATTTTTAGCCCAAGGCAGCTCATCTCATCAGGCCTTTTTTACATGGGGTCACTTGGCAGATATGGATTGACACCTGTCCTAGGGATCCCTGATACACACTGACACAGAGCAGAATAGGGACTGTTCCTCCTACATAGGGTCACATGGCAGATATGGATTGACACCTGTCCCTCAGAACCCCCTGATACACACTGACATGAATCAGAATAGGGAATGTTACTAACATAGGGTCACTTAGCAGATATGGATTGACACCTGTCCTAAGGATCCATAATTACACGCGACACAGATCCAGAATAGAGACTGCGTACTTTAACGCCCAGGGTCACTTGGCAGATATGGATTGACACCTGTCCTAAGGATCCCTGATACACACTGATACACACCTACTTGGATGGGTATAAACATTTTAGCAGCTCCTGGCCCGAACACCTGACCCACATAGGAGACGTAATAGACCGGATTAGGGAGTCCGGACTGACCCTAAAGCCCAGTAAGTGCCATATAGGAACGTGTAAAAACCTCCCCAAGATAGTAGTATGGGCCCCAGAATGTGAACAGGCCTTCCAACAGCTCAAGACGGCGCTCATTAAATCACCTGTACTTTCTTCTCCTGATCCAACTAAGCACTTTCTCGTCCATACAGACGCTTCTATGCTTGGATTGGGAGCAGTACTGAGCCAAGTCGGAGCAGATGGTGGCTAGCAACCCGGGGCTTATCTAAGCTGTAAACTTTTGCACAGCAAAGTATATTCACTGCCATTGAAAAGGAGTGCATAGCGGTGGTGTGGGCCCTCAAAAAGCTGCAACCTACTTGTATGGACAACCGTTTACTTTACTCACAGATCACAACAAATTTGGGGCACTGCGCGTGCAATCTAATGTGCCACCAGATAGGAGTGGTGTGTTTTAGTACTATTGTTATCAGTTTAATCACTGTTACGCCCCCTATCCGTTGATGTGGAGCAAGACGCAGCAGCAGAAGAGGACTAAGCCGAGGAGGTTATGGAAGAGGATGGAGTAGGAGGAGTAGAGGAGGTGGCAGCGTACTGGCAGAGTACACGCTGTAGGGCTGACACACCTGCTTGAAGATAACTAACTGCTATTCAATCTATAACAGGGAAAACATTTTTTTGTTTTTAAATCCAAGCTATTGTGACACCAGTGAGTGAGTGAATTGTGTTTAGTACCTATTGTTATCAGTTTAATCACTATTCGCCCCTATCCGTTGATGTGGAGCAAGGCCTTGTAGCAGCAGAGAAGAGGACTAAGCCGAGGAGGTTATGGAAGAGGATGGGTAGGAGGGAGTAGAGGTGGCGGCGTACTGGCAGAGGCTGCGCTGTAGGTTTGGCACAGCTTTTGAGACAACTAACTGCTATTCAATCTATAACTGATGTTTGTTTCACAGGCAGAAAGTGCCCTAAAAGATGACGGCTTGAACCCAAGTTAGTGGCGGATCAGTCACGCAAGTCAACAGGCATTCAGAGCTAAAATACAGCAGCGTGTGGACCATTTTTAGCCCAAGGCAGCTCATCTCATCAGGCCTTTTTTTAATCTAATGTATCGCCCAGTGTCAGTCCCTTCGGGATCCATCCCTCATTCATCTTAATAAAGGTGAGGTAATCTAGACTTTTTTGACCTAGGCGACTTCTCTTCTCAGTGACAATACCTCCTGCTGCACTGAAGGTCCTTTCTGACAGGACACTTGAAGCGGGGCAGGCCAGAAGTTCTATCGCAAATTGGGATAGCTCAGGCCACAGGTCAAGCCTGCACACCCAGTAGTCAAGGGGTTCATCGCTCCTCAGAGTGTCGATATCTGCAGTTAAGGCGAGGTAGTCTGCTACCTGTCGGTCGAGTCGCTCTCTGAGGGTGGATCCCGAAGGGCTGTGGCGATGCGTAGGACTTAAAAAGGTCCGCATGTCCTCCATCAACAACACGTCTCTAAAGCGTCCTGTCCTTGCCGGCGTGGTCATGGGAGGAGGAGGATGACTTCCACCTCTCTCCCCTGTTAGATTCCCGTTGTGCTGTGACATCACCCTTATACGCTGTGTAAAGCATACTTTTCAATTTATTTTGCAAATGCTGCATCCTTTCATACTTGTTGTAATTCGGTAACATTTCCGCCACTTTCTGCTTATACCGGGGGTCTAGTAGCGTGGACACCCAGTACAGGTCGTTCTCCTTCAGCCTTTTTATACGAGGGTCCCTCAACAGGCACGACAGCATGAAAGACCCCATTTGCACAAGGTTGGATGCCGAGCTACTCATTTCCCGTTCCTCCTCCTCACTGATGTCAATGAAGGTATTTTCTTCCCCCCAGCCACGTACAACACCACAGGTACCAGATAGGTGACAGCGAGCACCCTGGGATGCCTGTTGTGGTTGGTCTTGCTCCTCCTCTTCCTCCTCCTCAAAGCCACATTCCTCCTGACTCCTCTTCCTCACAATCCTCTTCCAGCGTTGCCGCAGGTCCAGCAAGCGATGCTGATAAGGCTGTTTCTGGAGGTGATGGTGACCACAACTCTTCCTCTTCCTCTTCACGCTCATCTACGGCCTGATCCAGCACTCTTCGCAGGGCACGCTCCAGGGAGAAAACAAATGGTATGATGTCACTGATGGTGCCTTCGGTGCGACTAACTAAATTTGTCACCTCCTCCAAAGGACGCATGAGCCTACAAGCATTGCGCATGAGCGTCCAGTAACGTGGCAAAAAAATTCCCAGCTCCCCAGAGGCTGTCCTAGCACCCCGGTCATACAAATATTCATTAATGGCTTTTTCTTGTTGGAGCAGGCGGTCGAACATTAGGAGTGTTGAATTCCAACGTGTGGGGCTGT